GAAAGGCACCTAGAATCTCTCCATTACAGATAATGCTAGCCCTTGGTTCTAGATAGAAACTATTCATTATATTGAAGAAGATCCATTTGTTCGTACACTTTTTCAGTGTTTTTTAATGAGTCTTTGTCAGAAGCTTTTTCTGCATTTATGCAATCTTTGGATTTTTCTTGTTTTGGTATTAACATGGTCTATTTTGTTTATAATTTTTCCTAATAGTGAACTAACCCTGCAAGTCAGCCATAGCGTATAATAATCTTTGTAAAACGTTGTGTTTTTTGCTAGTTTTATTCAATACTCTTATGTTGATATTCATTAGGGATACTGGTTGATAGTCCTATCCCCCCACCCCCCACTTAATCTATTTGTTTCATAGAAGGAATTCCACTTTGTAAATTTTAAAGTATTCAAGGAATGGGAGGTCTTCAGCCAATCCTCCTTTTATATGAGGAAACAGAGGCTCAGAAAGAGAAAGTGACTTGTCCAAAGTCATACAACTAGCTAGTGGCAGAGTCGTAATTTGAAAATATGTCCTCTGACTTCCATTCCAATGGTGTGCGTAAACTCTTTTTCCTTCATGAATAAAACCACTCTTGTGGCTTACTTAGACTTTGTTTGGAAGTTGGGGGAGGCGGGGCACAATGATGAAAGAGAAGAAAGCTGGAAGCGAATATCTGACTAATGTTTCCCTTCATAAAGGGAGCAACAGGGGAGAGGGGAAAAGTGATTAGAACTGGAGGCAGTAGATCTTGGAGTGCAATGCAGGCTCAGGATTCAAAAAAGAGCCAGAATCAGGAATGCCAGAGAGTAAGAGTAAAATCTCCTGAGGAGTAGAGTAAGTGTCCCGAGATAACATTATCAGCAAGGCCTATGAGGGCCTAGGACTTCAAACTTTAAAGGAAGTCAAGCCAAAGCCTGGCTGGAAAGAGATCACAGAATCATGGAGTGTTCAGAGTTAAAAATCAACTGAGAAATCATCTTGGGCCAGACCAACCCTCTCATTTTACTAATGAAAAAACTAAGACCCAAGGAAGGTAAGTGACTTTGTCCAAGGTCACAGTGTCTGAGGAGGTAACCACACCCAGGTCTCGACTCAACCCAGTGCTCCTTGAAAGAGGTTTATCAACCAGGAAAGTATGTCTGCCATTAATGAGCTAATCTGGAGTGGGTATCCAGAAAAAATCATATTTCTTAAACTCCTATTTCTAGAGCACTTTTCTCACAAAATTCCTGTGAGGTAGGGCTTACTGTTCTCATTCGGCTCAATTACAGATACTGGAGTGGTCCCTGCCATCAAGGAACTGACATTCTACTGAAGGAACAGAATATGAAAATAGATGTTAGATAAATGAAATGCAAGGCAATTTGAAAAGAGAGAGATGGAGAGGCAAAGAGACACAGAAAGCATAACAACTGAAGGCTTCCCATAGGACCAGACCCCTAAACTGAGTGCACCTAGAGGGAAGCTAAGGATTCTATTACTTGGCAGTGAGGACGAAGGGCATTCCAAACATGGGCTTTTAAGCCTGTATGAAGGCACAGAGATACGAGAAGGAGCACTGATTTAGGGAAACAACTAGGCCAGAGTGACTGATAAGGTGAATGCACGCTAGGCAGAAATATGAAACAAAGGAGGAAAGGTAGTTTGCAGCTAAAATATGTAAGGCTCTGAGTACCAGCCTAGTGAGTTCTTGTTTTGTCATAAAAAGAATGGAGATGAAAGAAAATTTTTGAATAAAAGAGTGACAGGATCAGACTTGTGTCTTGGGATTATATTTTGGCAGCTATGTGGAGGATGGCTTGGAGACGGGGGAAAAAATGGATACAAGGAGACCAATGTAATGGTTCCAGTGAGAGGTAATGAGGACCAGAATTGGGGTCGAAACTGAGAGGCTGTGGCAGCCCAAATGATGAGATCTAGCAACCAACTGACTCTGAAGGGCAGTGAGGGAGAGAAAAGGGCCAAAGGTATCTCCAAGGTTATGAGCATGGGTCTAGCAGGATGGTGGTGCCCTCTACAGAAAAACCACTTTTATAAGAGTATACTTCCCCCCCCCAAAAAAAGTACACATTTCATTTTGGATGTATTCACCTTAAGAAGACAACAGGCTATGAAGCTGATGATGTGGAACTAGAGTTCTGGACAGAAAGGAGGGCTGGACAGGTCATCTGTAAAGATCAGTGAACCTGTGGGATGGATGAGATTACCAACACAGAGGATATAGACCAAAGAAAAGAGCCCAAGACAGACAACTTTACACTGAGTAGGCAGGTGAAAGGACAGTGATGGAAACTGAGAAACAGGTGATGACCTAATAATAAACTAAGAAGCTGTGCAAACAGCCTCAGAGAGGCCCAGTGATTTGCCCAAACTCACACAGGTCGTAAGTGGTGGGGCTGAGGCGGAACTCAGGTTCTCAGAATCCAGATCCAGGGCTGTTTCCACTACCATTCAAAGCTGCTCCCTTGAGCTCTGTGCACTGACAGTTCTGAGCTTTGTTCTTTCAAAGTGTGGTTTCTAGATAAAGTCCTTTTTCTTCCTTGCTACTAATGTTCTTTTTTAAAAAAAATATCACCCAATCAAAAGAAGTTACAATATATATTTGCCTCATAGAATTGTGTCAATATAATTTAAAAAAAAAAGGATACTATCTAAATTCAATGACAGATTCAGTGCTAAACCAGTCAAATTCCATAGGGGATATTTAATAAACAGAGACAAAATAATAAATTTAATTTAAAAAAACAAAAATTTAGACTCAAGGTAAATAATGGGAAAAAAAAACAAATGGACAGAGAAAAACACTTTCAGACCTCAAATTATGCCACAAAGCAGCAATCACCAAAAACTAGTTAGCACTGGTTAAAAACCAGAAAATTAGACCAGCAGAACAAACTAGATAAGGAAGAATCACAAACAACTAAATTCAATAACTCAGTGTTTAAGAAACTCTAAAACACAAATTTCTTGGGAATGAATTCCCTATGTGACAAGAACTTCTGGGAAAATCTGAAAGCATTCTGGCAGAAAATAGGTTTAAACCAATAGCTTACAACATATACTACAATAAGGTGGAAACGGGTACATAACCTAAATATTAAAGGTCACACCATAAGAAAAAATTAGAAGAGAATCAGATTAGGTAATCTTCACCTGTATGAAAGGCTATCAGAAGAATCATTACGCAAATAACAGAAGCAATCACAAAAGACAGACAATTTCAATAACATGAAATTATGAGGCTCTTGTACTAATAACTTAACTAGAAGAAGGGAAACATGTCAACTGGGAAAAATATTTGAATCAAAATATCTAAGTTTAGGGTCAAGATGTACAAGGAACTAATACAAATATATATATGAGCAAGAACCATTTCCCAATAGATAAGTGGTTGAAGGACGTGAACAAACAGTTCTCAAAAGAAGAAATGCAAACTATTCACAACCACATGAAGGTTTGTTCCAAATCACTAACAAAAGAAATTTAAATCCAAACAAAACTGAGGTCTTTACCTCACACTCAGAAAATGGGCAAATGACAAAAAACTGGGAACTGTCAATGTTGGAGGGGCTATGGAAAAACTGGCGCACTAATACACTGTTGGTGAAGCTGTGAATTGGTTCAACCATGTTAGGAAGCAATTTTGGCAGCTGGGTGACATGGTAGATAGTGTGCTGGACTTGGAGTCAGGATCATCCTCAGGCCAAATCCTATCTCAGACACTTACTTTGTGACCCTGGGCAAGTCACTAAACCTCTGCCTCAGTTACCTCATGTAAAATGGGGATAAGAATAGCACCTATCTCCCAGCATTGCTGTGAGGATCAAATGAGGTAATAATTGTAAAGCACTTTGCAAACCTTAATGCACTATGTAAATGCTGGCTGTTATTAGCATTATAATTATTAAGAAAAGTGACTAAAACATTCATACTCTTTGAGACAGAGTAGATCTCAAGGTCAAAGACAGAAAGATACCACATATAGCAAAATATTTATAAGACCACTTCTTGTAGTAGCAAATAAATGGAAACAAAGTAGACTGCCATGAAAGAGGGATGGCTTAATATGCCACGGTACAAAGTTACGGAAGATTACTGCATCATCAGAAGCGTATACATATGAGGAATTCAGGGAATCATGAGACAATTTCTAGGAACTGAAAAAGAGCTAAGTGAGCAGTCCCAGAAAGAATATGTGCACAGTGACTACAACATAAATGGAAAGACAACAACAAAGTGATGCTGGAGAGTAAAGCCTGAACACTACAGGCCTGGGGAATGTAAACTTCTTTAGGAACGAGATCCCAAAGGGCCCAGGGCAGGAGCCCAGGAGTCGAGGTGGAGCACTGAGGAAGAAAAACATTGGACCCAAGGCAGGGTCCAGCGAGCAAAGCCTACCTATTGCCTTCATTGACCCCTAGTGGGCCCTGGCAGGGGCCCAAGTCTGAAGTAAGCACCCCAGAAGGGTAGATTCAGGGAATGGTTGCCCTGGAATGGCTGGGTACCCAAATGACCCTAGAGTGGGCATTACTGGGAGACTCACTTGCCTCTGAAGAAAGCCAAGACTCAGGTTCTGTTGTACACGAGTTACTCTGGGTGCCCTTTATGAAAGGCGTCCTTCCTCTAAAGAGCTCTGCTTTGGGATGCAGAAAACCTAGGTTTGAATCCCAGCTTCTTACCACTCCTTCACTACCCATATGACCTTGGGAAAAAACTAAGCTGTTGCATCTGTTTCCTCATGAAAGAGGGTAAAATGAAGAGACTGAAATAGATCTCAGAGGTACCTTTCAGTTCTAAATCCTATGATTCCTCACTGATCCCCAAAACCTTACCCAGCCCCAAACCTTCACAGGCCACTTTTCCCTCCATCTCCAAAGCAGCCCAGGGCCTCTGGACACAGGATAAATCCTGTGCTCCTACAGTAACAGATGGAGCTTCACTGACTTCCATCTCTCCCCACCTTCTAGGCTGGCCAAGATCCTGAAGCATGGATGGAACTAGGGCAAGAACAAAGCCAAACACTTTATTCTCATAAAGACATATAAAACCTGTGCCCAGCCCCTCACCAGCACTGTGCAGTTGGGCTTGGCCAAAGTAAGGACACTTCCTTCTAGCCACATGTCTTGGCTCAGCGTCCCCCAACCCCAGACTCCAAAGTCTCCATCCTTAAGGGCTGAGGAGGAGGGTGGTGTGCCGTGAGGGATGGAAGAGAACATCCTTCTCCAAAGAGCGAGTTCTGAGTCTCCCCTAACCCCCATCAAGGAGTGCATAGGTCACGCAACAGCAGCAGCAGCAGCAGCAGCAGCAGGGAGGGGTGTCACATTCTAGTGGCCTGAAGGGATGGTCACAGAGAACAAGATCTCAGGGCCTGCAAAGAGCTACCCCATTGCCTTATACACCCTTCTCCCTAGCCCAGGCCTGAGGGGCCATGACATCCTTCCCCCTCCTCCTGACAGAGCCCTAAGGCTGTGGCCTCATGCCAGAAGGGAATCCCAAGTAGGAGGACAGTATACTCACCAGGACAGACTGTGTGGTTCTGGGTCTTGGCTGCATAAGGGCAAAGGTGACAGCATCATGGATGGAAACGAAGAGGTGGCCCTTGGTAATGGAGTCTTCAAAGAAGTTCCCAGACTCAAACTGGGAGATTATATTGCCTGGTGTGAGAAGGCGGGGAAATGCCATGGCCCCCAAGGGCAGACCAGCCCTGACCCCCAGGTAGGACTGGCATTCCCCCAACCCCAGGGCCAATCCCCCAACTAGACAAAATAACTCCCTCTACCACCCTGCCTAGAATTGGACCCACAGTCCCACACACGCACCATGACAGCCAGCCAAATACACATTCACTTCAATCTCTTGGAAATCACGGAAAATCTACAACAGAATCAGAGCCCCCATTCAGGAGAGGACTGACTCCTCAGGCCAGACCCTCCTATGTGCTCCTCCTCTTCAACCCACACAGTCTCCACTGTACCTCCCATCACCCTGCCCCTCAGCACCTCATCATTCCCCCATATTCTCCATCTTCTTAGGGTCTCACTACCCTCTCCTCTGCCCCCCAAATCAATCAAATTCCCCTTTGACCCTGAATTGGCCTCACATTTTTCAAGGTCTTGATACACACAGTATCCACAAAGTTGAGAGTCCCCAAATCCAAAATAAGGTTGTGGAAGTGGGGCTGAGGTAGGCCCAGTGCTTCCAAGGTGAGTGTGAACCCTTTGTCATTGACCACTGCATTGTCTGGCCTGTCCACACCACCAACCTAGTACAGAATCAGATGAAAAACAGGGGTAGTAGCCAGAGGAGAAGGACAAAGAAGTTAGTCAATACCACACCCACACCCACACACACCCACACCCACACACACACCCATACACACTCTGCATCAAAGGCCTACAAGAGACTTGATTTCTCAAATCTCTTTCCAGTGCGAGAATTCCTTTTTCAACAACCTCGTGAGGGAGTCGCAGAATCATGAAATCTCAAAAGTTGGAAGACACCCTAGAGGCCATCCAGTCCAACCTCACACATGGATGAGTCTCCCCTCTGCACCACACCTGACAGGAGGCCTTCCAGCCTTAGCCTGAAGCTCTCCAGGGAGGGAAGGCACTATCACCTTTAGGGCAGATCACCTCCCATCTGTTAGCACGTTTTTTACTTAAGCCAAGCCTCCATTTGCTTCCCTAGAAATCCTACCCACTGCTCCTACTTCTGCTCTCTGAGAGCAATCCCCCTTCCATATGGCCCCTTCCAATTTTTGGAGACAGTTTTCCCATTCCCCCCATTTTCTCCAGTTCCTTCCAAAGACCCTTCTAGGGTAGGAATTCTCAATTTGGGCTCCATGGACTCCTAAGAAACCTGCTGACAATGTACATCCTGAATTTCACTAACCTCTAACTGAAAGTTAACATTTATTTCAACTGTGAATTTTTTTCAATGATTCTAGCCATCCCCAGTAGGCAAGGAGTTAAAGGTTATGAATAAACAGTTCTCAAAAGAGCGACACACTCTTAACACCTACATGAAAGAATGTTCCAAGCCACTAACAGGAAAAGAAATGCAAATCCAAACAACCCTAAGATTTCACTTCACACCCTGCAAAAAGACGATAAAAGGTGAAAATAGTCAATGTGGGAAGGCAAGCACATCAGTGCATTACTGGTGAAGTAGTCTGGAACCATGCAAACAAAGTGATTAAAATGTCCACACCCTTTGACCAAGAGATTCCATTACTGGGCTTATATGATAAGAAGAAAGTCTCCATATACTCCAAAATATTGATAGCAGCATTTTTGGGGATGGTAAAGAATTGGAAACAAAGTAGATGCCCATCAACTGGGGAATGGTTAAACAAATCTGTGGTATGTGCGGTAAAAAGTGACAGATGTGCTAACTATCGAGAAGGGTGGAAAGAGCTACCTGAACTGATGAGCTGAGCACCCCCAACAGTCTTTGTGGAGTTTAAGCTGCCCTGAGACACGAGGGGCAATGACTACAATGATGCAAATAGAAAGAACCACAGTTAAAAAAATAAAAAATGAATGTTGCACAGCTAATAGAGAAATACATTTTGCATGACTTGACGTGTGTGATTGATATATTGCTCTCCTTCTTAATGGGTGGTGGAGGGGTGGCAGGTCAGGAGAGAATTTGGAACTCAAAGTTTTAAAAAATGAATGTTAAAAATAAATAAAAACCTAAATTAATTTTTTAAAGCGAATGTTACAAAATTACACAGAACAAGTCTGGCTGGAAAGAAGATACATGAGAAGAAGGCCCCCCCCCCCAATCTCATTGCTGGGGGGGGGGGACATCCACAAGTGTTGGGCACTGCAGAGAGTTTCAGACAGTTCAGATGTATGTATCAGTTGGGCTGACTTTTTCCATCTTTCTTTTTCCTTTTTTTTTTTAATTCTTAAAAAATTCTATTTGCTTTATGCAATATCTCTTGCAAAGTGGGACAGGGAGGGGAAGGGAGCCTGGGAGGAATCACAGTGATGTAAAAGAATGAAACACACCAATATAAACTCATTTAAAAAGTTATTTCATGCAGAGGTTTCAGCTGACAACCAAAGGAGCCCACGACCCCCAAATGGTGAAGGAACCCAGGAGTCTCTAGGAGACATTCTCTGGTCCTCTTGCCCTGCCGGCTGCCCGACTCTAGACCCACCTTATCAAGGTCCTTCCTAAAATGGAGCATCCCTAACACAGCACTGCAGACATGGCCTGCCCCAGACCCAGGTTGGGGGAGTCATCCCATTCCTAGCCCTGGGCCCTCTACTGTCCCTTGAAGAAAGGCAGACCAAGGTTACATTAGCTTTCTTGGCTGCCCCATGACACTGGTGACTCTCATGGACCTTACAGGACACTTTCATTCCCATGCCACCCTTATTTTGTCTTTGCAAAATTAATTTGTTTTAGCCCAGTAAATGTTTACATTTACCTCTTAAGTCCTTCCCCACCCTGACAGCACACAGAGACTCATTCACACATTCCCATTCTTAGCTCTCCACCCCAGTTCCCTCCTCCAAACCTGGGCATTCTCGATATCCATTTCCTCAATTTTAACATTCATACTATTAGGTTCTGAGGAATCTAAGGGCACTTTTCGGGCAGCAGCCTGTGGAAAGAGAAGAAGACAGGAAACTTGATGTTCTAATAATTTTGTGATTTAGCAAAACCAGAGCAGCCAGTCCCAGAGCCAGGAAGGCCTGGGTTCTGGCTCCCTGATCCTCGGCAAGCCTCTTCACCCCTCTGTGCTCCCAGGCCGCTCTCTGAGAGTATAAGGTGCAAAGAAGACATAAGCCTGCACAAGTAGACAAAGTGTCCTATCTGTCCAGCTCCTTATGCCGATAAAGTCAAAGGTCTAGTCCCTATCCTCCCTGGGTGTTTTAAATTACCCATTAGTTTAGCTAAGTGAGAGCCTAGGGCTGCATGTGCAATGGGCCCAGTTCAGCTGACCTTCCTCTGGGCTAATGTCAATCTATACTGGGTAATGAGCTTTAAAGTTTGAGTCACTGTTTCCAAAGGGACCAGAGTGAGTCATGTTAGAAAGCTGAAACAAAATGGGGATCCTGAGAAAGAGGCTGGAGTAGGGGGTTGTGTGTGGTGAAGGAGTGAGCTATCAAAGGAGATCTAAGTGGATAGAGGCCAGAGTGGTAGAGTTATTATTACAAGGGAAGAGGGGATTTGAACACACATCTCGGGTAGAAGGAACTTCAAAAGGCATATATTCCAACTCCCTTGTTTTAAGATGAGGAAACTGAGATCCAAACAGGTTATGACTTGCTCAAGGTAGTAAGTGGAAGAGCTTGGATTTGAACCCAGGTCTTGTGACTCTAAATCCCATATTGTCTCTACTACACCATGAAGGTGGATCCAATTTGGAGGTCAGGGACCAGGAAGGCTCAGAGAAGCAGAAATCAAAGATGGAAGTCATGTGGTCAAAAGCTAAGGGGAAGGGAATAGATCAGAGGGACCAAATGGAAGAGTCTGAGCTGAGGACATGTCTTACTTTCTTTTGCCGGTTTTCTTTCTTCTGCAATTTCTTTGTCTTTAATCTTTGCTTCTTGATCAGTTTCTTCTTCTTGGCAATGAGGTGGTCCACATCCAGACCAATCTGGAGGCAGAGAGGAATGGAAGGATAGAGAGGAATGTGTGGGCATGGGGTGGGAAGGAGGCAGGCTCTGGGAGCCCTGTCCTGTGGGCTCCCCACCTCACGTCCTGGGAGATATATGGACGGATAGATGGTAGGCTCCATCTTCCCATATGTGATCCCCCAATCCTGTCCCATCTCACCTTCTCCTTGAGGGCCTGCCTATAGAACTCGGCGTTGGCAAAGTACAACGTGGCCGAAGAGCTGAAAATCTTCACTCCTGGGACTTCCCTGGCCTAGAACCCAAACAGAAGAGTGGCTGGATGGAAACAGATGGTCCTGGAATCCTCAGCTCCAGTTCTTTTCCCTCATATGCTCCGCCACTCCATGGTACCAACTAGCCATGACTACTAACCCTGCCACCGTCTCCATCTCCCCCTGATTGCTCCCCTCATCACCAATCCTACACTTCAGAACATCAGACCCAGAACCAGGAGGGACCTTTAGAGATCGTCTGGTCCAACAAGTGATTTGTCCAACCTAAGACAGCTGGTAACGAAGCCAGAATTGGAATACGTGTCCTTAGATTCTGGCTCTTTCTACCACACCACAGGGACAACTACCTGCTGGACACTTTGGCTTGGGTGCCTGCCACCATCCTCTCTGTCAGGCTGGCTCAAATCCTCCTAAGTTATCTTGGACCCTTCCCTCTTCTTCACATCCAATCAGTTGTCTGACCTTCCCAAGGTCTTCTAAATCCATCCCCTTCTCCCCCCCCAACCCCCCAACTGGTACCGCCATAGTTCTTGTCTAGCCTATTTTAATAGCCTTTAAATTGGTCCATCCATCTCTAGGCTCTGCCTTTTCTAAGCCATCTTTCCACAGTTCCCAAGCTGTCAGAACAACTCTGACCATACCATGCTCCTGCTCAAAAATCTTCAGTGGCTCACTATTACTTAGAGGATAAAATACTAACTCTGAAAAATGGCCTTCACAGCCCTTCACAGGTTGGCTCTCACCAATCCTTCCCACCTTATCTGTCACAGCCTGCACACGTCTCCTCTGCTTTGGCCAGATCACTCTCCTCATTATCTACCAGGATTCATTCTTTCCTTTCTTCCTCCTAATGAATCGTTCTGTCCTTCAAGGGCCACCTCAATCACACCTCCTCGGTGAAATCTTCCCTGATCCTTGGAGCTCACAGTGACTCTCCCTTTTTGATCTCCTTTAGAATCCGAAGCCTGAATCACAGAACTTGGTCTCTGTCTGGATCATGTCCTTTACTAGCACCCCAGCCTAGCTCGCACAAACCATGAGATCCTCAAGGACAAGGCCCACTTCTTCCAGGTCTGCCTCTCCCACATCATCTTCATCATCATAATAAGAGCTAACATTTATATAGCACTTATTATGTGCCAGGCACTATGCTAAGGACTTTATCATCATTATCTCATTTGATCCTCACAACAACCCTGCGAGGTAGTAGTATTATTATTCCCATTTTACAGATGAGGAAACTGAGGCAAATCTCAGTTAAGTGACTTGCCCAGGGTCACACAGCTAGGAAGTATCTGAGATCAGACTTGAACTCAGAGCTTCCTGATTCCAGCCTCAGTGCTCTATCCACTGGTCCACCAGCTGCCTCAAAACAGGACACAAAACTGGTGCCAATAAGTGCTTGTTGGCTAGGCAGCTGGGCAGGCAGATGAAGATGGACAGGTAGGCCTGAGCAGAAGGCTGATGAGAAGACTGACAGGTGGGTGGAGAGAGAAGTGAATAGTAGTGGTAGTAAATGGACAGATGGGTGAACGGATGGATAGGTGAATGAATTTAGGGTAAGGGGGCAGGGGGGGTTGGAAGGTAAACTTAGGAAGAGAAACCATCCCCAAAACAAACACATGATTCCCCAAACAGGGCTCTGGGATGGCCAGATATTGGGTGTGCCCGCCTCATAGATCAACTTTGATTCCCAAAAGCCCATGCCACCTCCATCTGAGGGTACAAAAGGAAAGCAGGCTCCTCCACAGAAAGCACACTCCTAACCTCTCTTCTCCTCTCTCTTCCCTGCCCCTTTCCCACCTTTTCCCATCCTCCACTCTCATCGGTCTCTCCTCCTTGCCCTCACAGGGCCCCCAGAACCTCCTGCTCAGAATTCTGGTAGAAAGTGCTCCCTCGCCTTCTTAGGCCAGCAGCCTAAGTCTTCTTTCCCAGCAGCCCCTGCTCTAAGATGCTTTGCTGCACTCCTGATACTCTGCGCCAAATCAGCCTATTCTGGATTTTCTCTCTCTGGTCCTCAGTGCTGGGGCCAGTTCTGTAGTCCATATGAGGGCTCATGGGAACATCTCAGCTTCTCTGGGTCTGTTTTCTCATTGGCTACAAACACTCCCCCTCCCCCTCTCACAGAAACTTTAAAGTGCTATTAGGGGGAACTATTATTCCTCTGGCTAATGATGGTCACCTCCCTAGCCACACTGTCCTCTTAGACAGGTTTACATCCTCTAGTTATCAAGACAACAGTGCTTTCCATTTCTCCAGCAACTTAAGGTTTGCAAAGTCGTTTCCTCAAAAGAATCCCATGAGGCACAGAGGTGTAAGTATCATTAGCCCCATTTTCAGAAAAGGAAACTCAAGTGATAGGAAGTACCTTAGCCAAAGCAACCCAGCAAGTAAGTGATGGGGCCAGGATCCCGTCTGTCTCCTGATTCTAGGCCCTCCTCTTCTCCACTGCATCACACTGTCTCTCACCACATTTATCAAAAAAGCCTCCCTCCCCTGGACTCCTGCCACCTTTGAGGAAGGACAAACTACTTGCCCTGGGGCCCTGGAAGATCCTGGATGTCCTCTACCCCTGGGCTTCCCCCCGCCCCAGGGCTCTTCCCAGATTACCTCCTTGTACTGAGTCACATCTCTGTAAATGTCCGTGTCTGGCACCTGCCCCAAGATAGAGTAATGGGGTCTGTGGGAGAGATGACAGGGAGAGACAGAGATAAGGAGAGACCAAGAAAGACACAGGTATCAGAATCTGTAGGAACTCCTCATTCCACCCCCTAACACACACACACACACACACACACACACACACACACACACACATACACACACACACTCTCTCTCTCTGTCTCTCTCTCTGTCTCTCTCTCTCTCTCACACCTGGGATACCTTAGCACTGGATTCTGCTGGGGACGGGGAGGGGGAGTGAGTAGGAGAGAACAAGGACCCTCATACTGCCCGCCCCACCACTCACAGTTGAGTACGGAAGACGACAGAGAGCAGGGAAAAGACTATAGCAACAGCCAGTCCAATGTCCAGGTTCAACAGGACAGTGGCCACAAAGGTCACCAACCAGATCAGCTGTGGGGAAGAAAGTCAGGAGGTCAAGAAGCTTCCTCCCTCTCCCTCCTCTCCTCCATCCCTTGCCTCTAACTGCCTCACCACCTCATTTTCCTTCTTTCCCCTCTATGCCCCTCTCCACTTCCAACTCTTGCATCCATCCTTTCTACTTCCCCTCTTCCTGCTCCCGTCCTTCCTTTCCCCTCCTATTTCCCAGCTTGCCCTCATACCTTCTCCTTCCCACACCTTCCCCCTCCTTCCCCAGCCCCTCACCAGGTCCACCCGGTTTGCCTTCCATAGATAGCAGATATCAGAAAACTGGACGAACATGCCCTTGAGGTTGACAATGATGATAGAAGCCAGGATGGCCTGGGTGGGGAGTGGGAAGAAGAGGAAGGGGACGTCGAGTTAGCCCAGACAATTCAGGCAGTCATGCTAGCCCCTGTCCCGGCCCCAATCAGCCCTGCAGAAACCCCAAAGCCGATGGTACCAACCCGCTTTGGAGGGAGGGCTAAGGAAGACTTACTTTGGGAAGGTGATAAAAAAGCTCCCCCAATTTGATAATGACAATCAAGATGAGGAGGGAGGAGATGGCCCCAGCAATCTGAGGACAGATGAGAAGGGTGTAGATGGGACACCTCAAATCCTCCTCTCAAGACTTCCTCACTGGCTAAACCACTCCCCCACCACCTTGCACGGTACCCCACATCCTTCTCATCTCTGATTGGTCTCCCTCCACTCCAACTTGTCTTTTTTTTTAAATTTCAGTGTTTTAAATTGACAGTCATTTATTTCCCTCTCTTCAACCCCCAATCCCCCCAAAAAACAAAAACAAACCCTTCTGACAAACATGCATAGACAAGCAAAACAAATTCCCACGCTGGCCATACTCCACCTGTCTCTTCCAGGTTCCCTTGGCATCCTTCCCATGCCCTCCATGTTTCTCCCACCTCTACCACCCACGTCTCCTCACTGCCACTCTGCCCAACATGTGCCCCTATTACCTGTGTGTTCCCCCCTGAACCTTCTTGCACTAAGCTCCGGGACATGGAGCAGCTTATAGGAAAACACTGAAAAAAGCTGCCAAAGAAGTTACTGAGGCCAAGAGCAATCAGTTCCTGGGGAGATTGGGGGGGAGGGGAGAGAAGAGGTTATTACATCCAATAGCAATTCCCATGGAGATCACTCCTCCCAGCAATCAGACCCTTCCATCCAGGGTCACCTCCCACTTTCTTTTTTTTTGCTAGGCAATGGAGTTAAATGACTTGCCCAGGGTCACACAGCTAGTAAGTGTCAAGTATCTGAGGCCGCATTTGAACTCAGGTCTTCCTGACTCCAGAGCTGATGCTCTATCCACTGCACCCTCTTGCTGCCCCACACCTCCCACTTTCTAAGCATCCCCAGCCAATATGCTCCCCTAGTCACACAGAACAGGCTCCCCCACTTGGACAGGCTCCTGGTTCCCCTCACCCCAACCAAACCCCCTGCACCATGACACACCTGGTTATTGTCCACCTCATAACCATGCTTCATTCCAAAGATCTTGCCAAGGGAGATGGCAATGGCAAAACCAACCACAGATATGGCAAATGCATTCCCCACGATCTTTCCAAAGAAGTGGTAGTCAAACAACTGAGGAGGCTCCAGTCTTGAGAGAGGGAGGCACAGGACCTTCCATGCTCAGGCCTTTCCTGTCCCCAAACCACTAACCCACAAACCAAACCCAGACCAACAAAGACCGATGAAGGTAGAGCTGAGGACAGAGTGTTCCTCTATTTCATCCCCATACCCAGCTTTGGGCTGTGGCACCCCGGAGGAAAGAAGGGACAGAGCAGGCCCGGGGCTATGGGAAAATCCATCCAGGGCCTCTGCTGGTCTCTCACCCTGCAGGGATGTTACCCACGATGTCCACTTTAAACTTCTCCTTCAGGCCGACTCCATAAGAGATCGCTGTGGCTCCAATGAGCTGGGAGGGAGGGAAGAGGCAGGAAGCAACATCATAGCATCACAGATCTAGAGATGGAAGAGACCTTAAAGTCCATCCAATCCAACCCCCTCATTTTACAGTTGAGGAAACAGGCTCAGTGAAGCCAAGTGACTGGCCCAAGGTTCTACCTAAGTCCCAAGTCCAGAGTGAGCACTTTTTCTACTGTACCACACTGCCTCTATCACATCGGTGCGGAGTCCCCCTTCCTCCTTTTATGGGAGGTCCTGGATCTCCAATGGTCAGAAGAAAGATCTTCCACTCTGGCCACAGTCCAAGTTACCACCAGGCCAACAGCCCTGTCCTGCGCCCTCCAGATAAGCCTTCATCCCTCTCGTGGCCCCACTCCCTGCCCCAAACCATGCTCAGGGGAAGAATAAATCCTCACAATCACTCCCATTTCTATTATACTTGAAGGTTTACGATATAATTTCCTCATAATAATCCCCCAAAGTGGGTGTTGTATCGTTCCCATTTTACAGATGAGGAAAACAAGGCTCAGAGAGGGAAAGCAACTTGCCCAGAGGCAAGGCAGCAAATAAAGAAGAGGCAAAGCTATTTCATCAGAGCCAGGATTTGAACCCGGATCATCTGACTCTAAGGCCAGTGCCCATGCCTCTACATCCTGCTCTTCCTCATCCACACCCCCAGAGCCTCCTCCTGTGCCCCTCATACCATGATGAGTTCACTTGGCATAGGCACGGGCAGCTTTCGGCCCAGTTTCTGGTTTATTATCTTCATGGCCAAGAGCAGGGTCGAAGCTATCAAAGCAGTCACTACAGTGCCCACGTTGCTTTCTGGCAACTTCCAGATGATCTCCAACACTATCTGTGGGATGCAATGTGGGTGTGAAGGGGCCCCTAGAGCCCAGGGATGTCCCCCCTGCTCCCATATCCTGGGCCCCAGGGGCCAAGCAGGAGTCCCTCCCTGGCTCCCTCCTAGTGACTCACATAGATCTGTGACAAGGGCCCCGAATAGTCTTTAACACTGAGGCCAAACACATGCTTGAGCTGGGACACAAGCACCTGGACAGAGGCAGCTGTGGTATAGCCACGAACCAGTGGCTCTGACAGGTAGGTCACCACGAAGCCAAATTGTAAGAGGCCCATTCCCACCTAGGTACAAAAAGACAAATGAGCAAAGGATGGAAGGGTGGTTAGGGAGACAAACAGATGGACCAATGGTCAGGGGACAGTCAGGAGAATGAATACACAGTTAGAGAGTCAGAGGTCCATAACCAATGACCAAGGCTTTGACAGACAAGTAGAAAATCTGGGGGAGGAATGGGCAGACGAAAAGGATGGGAAGGGGAAAGAGCCAGGCAAGAAGTCAAGAAGACAAGAGTAGCAGATATAAAGAACACCCCGTCCAACCTCACCTGGAAAACACCAACTAGAAAGCTCAGGGCTGAGGCCACTTTCACACGGGTAGCATCTCTGGCTATCTCATTTACTTCTGTATCATTTCCAGGGACCAGGAAAGCATCATTGGGAGCTAGGGCTTCACTCACACTGCCCACCATAACCGATATAACAGCAAAAGTCCCTGCAGACCAGAGACCACAATGGGACCCTCATCGCGAGAATCCCAATAGCTACACTTGACCCTCGGGAGGCCTTCAGGCAGACAGGGGAAGTAGGGCCGTGGACACCCACAGTCGGAGATGCCAGCAGATGGACACAGGGAGAAAGAGAGAGTTAAAGCACGGTGGGCATCCAGGGGAAGTACTCATAACCACCTGTCTCTGCTCATTCTCTGTCTCATGTGTGAGCTCCATCTCCCACCACAGACCCTAAAGGCACGGGGCCTAAGGCCCGCTCCCAGTCTTCCCCACAATGTGCTCCCTCAGGGCCATGGAGTACAAAGAACTCACTGCTGACTAGAAGGAGAGGCATGGTCCATTCAGGGTCTGGAGACTCCACTTACCCACAGAAATGTGCCGGGAGGTACCAAATAAAAAGTAGACAAAGACGGGATAGAAAGAGCTATAGAGGCCAAAGACAGGGGGCAGTCCAGCGAGGAGGGCATAGGCCAGTCCTGAGGAAGATGAGAAGAACTTCACTGTCAGCTCCATCTCTACCCACCTACAACCAAGGCCCCAGCACACCACCAGCCCCTCCGCCTCCACCTCCACTTGCCTCCCAGGGTTATGGTCCCTTCACAATATCAACCCTTTCCTCCACCCCCAGACCCCTTTGAGACTCACAACCCAATGGGAACAAAGCTGCCCAGCCATCCGCCCACCCGAACTCGCCCTGTGGCAGCTGTACAATGCCCACACTGAGGCCAGACAGCAGGTCCCCCAGGAGAAATTCGCGCGCTGGGTACTTGGGCAGCCAGCTCAGGATAGGCAGGAAGCGGCAGAGGGTAGCCCAGGCTACAGCTGTTGAACATCTGTCAGGAAGAAAGGAGTTCAGGAAGAAGGCGGAGTCACTGCCTCTCACTATTCTTTTACTGCCTGCTCTGGGTTCCCCCTAGATAGCATGGACAGAAATCATTGGTCCGATAGAAAATCAAGGGGATGGCTGGAGAGATAAGTGGATGAATGGTAAGGATAAAAGACAGATGAGAGATGGACAATCAGCAGATAGACAGTTAGAGAGAACAGATGGGTAGACTTGGTTTCCCCTAGGTAGGATGCAGACACTTGTCTAGGGAAGTGGGGGGAGCACATGGTACTGCTCAATGCCTTCCCTCTCCAACCTGGGTAGAGTAAACCATCGGGAAGGCTTTGGGCTCTGGCTCCTCTGCCCCGTCTCCTCCAGCTCCTGCTCATTCAGTACCCGCCTGTCCACCCGATAGTCACATGGCAGGGGACCCGGCTCCACCTCCAGCTTCTCCATCGACAAGTCCTGAGAAGCCAATAAGGCCTGTGTGTCCCTAGGCCTGGGTAACGAGTAAAAGGATGAGGTCATAATAAAAATAATATTTATAATTTCTTACAGCACAGCACTAAAAAATGACGAACACAGGGAAGCATGAGAAGGCTTATGCGAACCTATGCAAAAGTAAAGTAAGCAGAACTAGGAAAGAAATCTACACAATGTCAAAGAAAGACCTGCCCAAACCAAATGCTAGGTCATTGTAATGACCAAGTTTGGCCCCCAGTGACAAGTTACAAGAAGGCACCGCCCCTCTCCTCCCCTCCTCCTTACCCCCATCCCCCAAGGTCTCTACTCTTCTTTGTAGAAAGAGGGGATGGGGCACAGATACAGAACACTCTGTGGGATGCCACACTTTTCTAATGTGTTGGCTCGGCTGCTTGTCTCTGTGTAAAACAGAGACTTTCTTATAAGGGAAGATTCTCACTAGGAGGGGAGGGGAAAAGAAGGGTGAAGCATATGATGGAAAACGGGAAAAGGGATGTAAAAATAAAAGGTATGAATAAAATTCATCTTAAAATAATGCACTTTAAGGTTGACAAAGTCTTTTATCCCCACAAAGTTAGCTGCAGGCAGGCAATGTCTAGTTTTTGTCTCTGTATCTCCAGCACCTACCACAGTGTGGTGCCCTTCACAGAGGAGGCAGCTGATAAATGCCCATTAAATTGAACTGAATTTCCCTCAATGGAGGGAAGTTAAGGATTACACTCTCATTTTAAAGGAGATGAAACTGAGGCTCTGGAAGGTAGGTGACTTTGCCAGGACAACAGATCTAACAAGTAAAGAGCTACGACGAGAATTTAGGTCTCCTGAATTCAAGACAGAGGGTCTGGGCAGCTGGTGGTAAAGGACACAGAGTGCTTGCTGGGCCCAGAGTCAGGAAGATTTGATTCAAATCAGTCTTTAGACACTTGCTAGGGCTGTGACCTTGCGCAAGTCATTTAACTTCTGCTGCCTCAGTTCCCACAAACAGATAATAATCACACCTACCTTGAAAGGTAGGTACTATTATCATCATCATACCATAAGATTACAGTCTCACAGGGGCAGGGGGAAGAGTAGTCAGTGAACAACGATCAAGCCCAACCTCGTGCACCCTCACCCAATGCTGAGCGACACCAAGAGACAGCCTCTCCTGCAGAGCCTTTAACCCAAGCCCTTTGTCCCAGGCCCTGTCAGGGGGAACTCCAGCTGACCCCAATGGTATAACCTCCAGACTTCCCTCCCAGGCACCCCACCCCCTTTTTCCTTAGCCAAGCTAAGACACGGACTTTGGCTAGGATGAAGCTTCCTTGGGAACAAAGTCCTCTAAAGACAGTAGGATAAACTGCTTCTCTGAAGCCCTGACCCACAGCCAGTCATACCCCTTCTTTCCCATTTTCTCCATGCTCAGCCGAGCCCCTCGTACCCCAACTGCTTTTTATCAGCAATGCTCCATAATCTTCTGCCCCCTAGTCCCACCTCTCAATCCTATCCCCCACACCCCAAATACCAACTCTTACCTCTCCTCAGCCACGTCCTTCAATCTTTCCCCTCTGCTCTGAAGTACAACTGTAAGCCATATACCCAGCCTTGTGCCCAGTCTTCACCTGTGTCCCAAGTGTTCTTAAAAGACCTCCATTACCCCCAGACGCTGACCACACAGAGGCTCTACCTCATCTCTAATCCAAGTGTGTGAGCTGGGGGAAAGGGGTACCCAGCCCCACTAGCAGAACCTAGACCACAGGAACCCAGTAACCTCTTCAGTGCCCAGCCCTTTAAAAGCAAGGACCCAGAGAGGAAGAACTGATCTAGCTGACGGAGAGTTGTCCGCCACTCAGGAGGCTTTCCCTACCCATACCATGGATAGGTGAGCAAAAGAACCCCCAAAGTATTGTCTCTTTCTCACCCTGAGCCTAAGTCCAAGCTCTAAGGAATGTAGGTGATGTGGAAGAGGAGCGGGGATGCCATGTCCATACGAACTGGTGCCCAAGACAGACTAGGAGAAAGTGGAGCATAGGCCCATCTCACCGGAGAAGGGGAGGTCCTGCTGGATGGTCCTGACACAGAGGGTGAGCTCAGGCTCCTGAGTACTAGGTGCACAAAGAGATTGCAAAGGCTCTGCAATCACTCCTCTCAAGAGCTAAGAGGAAGGTCCCGGGAGAGATCTTTGAATCCCTTGTCCCAACCCCTACTAGGTGAGTCATCCTCATTCTTAAAGGGCCCCTGCTATTAAGAGCCCTAGGCTCCTTGACCATGCTCCAACTCAGGTGGAAGAGGTGAGCCAAGAGAGGCTTAGATCCCTCCCTCTCTCACTCCTCCCCCATGTTAACAAATCCTTGGGACCAAATGGAGCAAACATCCATTGAGTTCCTCTATAGAAAGGAGTCTTTACCATTATTTCATCACCTTGCTTGAACTACTGCATTAACCTCCTAGTTGGTCTCCCCATCTCTAGTCTCTCCTCTCCAATCCATTCTGGACAGCCTGCCAAAGCCAGCTTCCTGACCTCATTCCTTCCACATTCAAATACCTTCAACGGCTCCCTTGTACTTACAGGATAAAACTCAAACTCCTCAGTCAGGCAGTGAAGACTTCCCAAGGGTGCCAAGTGACCTCTCCTTCTTTACTTCACACTATTTCCATCACGCTTTCTCTGCAAACTGGACTCCCCACTCCTACACACACCACTCTCCAAACCTGGAATATACTGGGGCCCCCCAGTCACCAGCCGTGCACTCAGGATCCAAGAATACACAGGCACCAAGGAGAGTCTGAATGCTCATTTCCCCCCACTCCACGATGGGGGGATGGGGAATTGTGACCCCTGCCAGGAAGCTTACCACACCTGCACGAAGGAAGAAGGGAGAGGCAGCCACAGCAACACCAGGAGCCCCCAAACCACCTGCTTGTCCCTGCTGCTCAGACTGGGAGGAATTGAGACAAGGAGAAAAGGAAAAATACAAGAAAGACTGGGGTGGGGGAGGAACGTGGGGAGCAAGGCTTCTCTGGGGGCGGAGATTTCCCAAAGGTTAAGGGCTGGCAAGGGCCTGAAGGGCTCCCTATGAGAGATACCCAGAACCTGCCAGGTCTCAACTATCAAGAACTTTATCAGGCACTGCCACTATCACTCCCTGGCTTATAATTAGCCATTTGGGATTAAGGTTCCCTAGAGAATACAAGAATGGGGGGAAGGGGAAACATCCCCTCCTGCTACATGACTCACATTAGGTGTTTAAGGGCCCAGAGACCTCTCACAGACCAAACCCAGCTGGGGGGAAAGAAGATGGAGAGTAGCCTGGGTTCTCCCCTTTAGTGTCTCCCACTGCTACTCCTCTAGCCTAATGATGAATCTTTGAGGGCCCCAGCCCGTCTCCCCACCCTCCTTTCCCATCCCCCACTGCTCAATTAAAGAGGGGAGGATAGAGGAAGGATGGAGGGGGGAGCCAGGGAGCAGAACCAGGATGGATCCCTTCTCTTGGTCTTCATCCTCCCTGTCACTGGCCGCTCTAACCTTCCTCACTCTCAGTCTCTTAGCCTCAGCTGCCAAAGTCCGGCCCACTAAAACTTCAATTCAATTAAAAAAAAATGTAGTAAGCTGCATATTAACATCCTGCATGCATTGCCTCAGAAGGAAGCAAGTTCTACTCTGGGAGGGAAATGTGTTTCATCTGTCCAAAGGTGAGGATGAGAAGAAAGTGCATCCCAGACACAGGCACCACAGGAGACAGCAGGTTAACAGTGAGGACACAGCGAACAGTCAGCTTGGCTGGAAGTTAAGAGTGAATGATTGGGGGGGATGACTAGCTCAAAGGCTGCAGCCAGTACCCAGAGGCTCTTTGCATTGTAGAGAACACAAGTTGAATCTGCATTGCTAACACTATTCTCCATCACTTTCTTAAGTCTAGAAAAGAGATAGGCACCTATGTATGTTGTTACCCAACTATGTGCTGACATTTCATGGCAAAAGGAAAGATTCAAATCAGCCTACCAGGTGGCTAAACTCTGTTATTTAACTTGTTTGAGAGGTTCAGTAATTGGGGCAAGATGATATGGGGTCTCAGGAGTTATTCCAATGGGGATATCTTCTCTGTTGTTAATCTCATCGGAGTATCCTGGTGGGGCAAGTGATCTTTAAGACAGTGGGGGCTTCCTTTTAAGATAGAATCAGTGGGCTCACCTTACTGTTGAAAAAAATACAGACTGAAGGTCTGTCTCTACACAATCCTGTGGCTGTTTCTTTAACCTCTAAGATTACTTTTTCTAGAAAAAAGATGTTCCTCCCAAACTCAACAGTTTACAAGTTTGATCCATTTCTTCTACAACTTCAGTGGGGCCATAATAACTGTTTTCAAGGATTTGAAAGCCAGTTGTGTGAAAAATGGGTGATATCTGTTCTTCTTTTCTGCTTGCCCAGAGAGCAGAAGTAGGCACAGTGTGTCCAAGTGGCAGAGAGACAGACCAGCTCAGGGAAAGCCTCCTCCAAAGTAGCCTATCCAGAAGTGAAATTACTGAATTACCCACCACTGGAAAGCTTCCCATTCATACACAGCTTTGGAATAGAAAGCTTCTGCCTTGGAGATTTTTGTGAAAGCTAAGCTACCTATAGGTAGACAGTCAGACATGCAGATGTAGACTCGGAGTGGGAGTGGCAGATAGAGCATTATTAAACGCTTACTATGAGCTTAGTTCTAGAAATACAAACACACAAGCAAACAAGACAATCTCTGCCCTCAAAGAATTTAAATTCTAACATATAAATTGAACCTGGAAGCTTGGGGAGGAAAGGCAAATGTGTGAAAGCCTGCTCTAGGAAGAAGACAGGGAAAAAACCTTACCTATCATAATCAAGGCAGCATCCAGGTTACTGGTTTCTGAGTAGAGACGACATGACAAGGAGTGGGCCAAGATGCTACTTGGAAACCTAAGATAAGGGCGTTGCATTTTATCCTAAAGACTTCAAACCCTGCATTGGAAAGATTATTTTGGCAAATATGTGAAGGATTGGAAAGAGGAGGCAGGGAA